AAAATCAAAATGACTAACTAAATAAAATCGAACAATAGAGAAATAAAAAAAGAAGTCATAAAAATGATATTTAAAAGAGAGTAGATTGGCGCAATATTCCAGAGATGAAATTTACAACTGATGGTTGCCACGGGTTATGGGGTAAGGGTTTGGGTAAAATGGGTGATGGAGAGTGGGAGATACAAGCTTCTAATTATGGAATGAATAAACCTCACGGGAATAAAACTCACAGCAGAAGAAATATAGTAAGTGATATTGTAAGAGTGATAATGTAATAGGACAGATGGTAGCTACACTTGTGGTGAATGTAGCAAAATGTATAAATGTGTCAAATCACTAAGGTGTACACCTGAAACTAATGTAACATTGTGTGTCAATGATGGTCAAATAAAAATAAATCCATACATTTTACAAAGTTAGTGGATGTGTGAAGCAAGGTGAGAAAGAGTGAGGCACAAAGGATGATTTGGGTTTCTGTTCTAGGGATGAGAGAATATAATTACAGTTTCTATTTATATAGCATGTCACAATTTACAAAGCACTTTTCATGTTTGCTGCATTCCATTGTTTCAACAACCTATGATAAATTAATATGAATTAAATTACAAATAAGGTTTATATAACAATCTTAAAAGGCTCTGACCACTACTAAGTAATTTCTTTGGGAGATACTATATGTAGGTACCTTTCCCAGTGACCTTTCTTCCTTATGAATTAGAAGTTGACTTGTGTTCCCCATTTCTTTGATTCTCCCTATGTTACTAGATAAATGGATTTTTTACAGTGGTTTATATAACAGGCATATGGTTGTGTCTCTGGAAAAAAAAGTGTTTTAGATAGTACTTCTCAAGCTTTTAAAATACATATGAATCTTTGGAGAATCCCAATAAAATACATTCTGATTTAGTGGATGGGGGTCTGAAATTTTGCATTCGTAACAGACTTCCTGTGGCGTCAATGCTACTAGTCCATAGGAGAAATTTTGATTAGAAAAGATTTAAACCAAAGCCATGCATAAATTTGTACAGACACACACAGAGTGCCTTTGATTAGGCAGGTGTGCCATTCTGGGATATTTATATCTTATTTCACCTTAAACGTCACGATCATTTCCTCATGGGTTTCAAGATGGACAATAATTGCTACCAATTGTATATGTTATATGTGTGTTTTTGTGTTTTTCAGGAATGTAGCTACATTCCATTTCTGTCACTATTGGCAAAGATTCTCCTAAAGGTCTCTCAACACGTTAATGGTCTTTTTCAAGAAAAGATCTCATAAAGAAACACCTCATTGTTAGCTGTTCATTAATAGTTCTCTTATTGGCAACTTGGATGTATGCCTCTTAATTTTGCAAGTATTTTTAAATTAAAATTACTTCCAAAGCATTTCAAATACTCCTGGCAATAACGTCTGCTTGGAAGCAGAATTTCTAATTGTCTTCCCACAGGTCCTTTCTTTTATGGTTCCATAGCCTTGTGGGTTTCCTTAATAGTCTGAAATTCCACAATATAATCCATGTGTGTTGAAAGACATCTGAAATCATCAACATGCCTCAGGGTCTCAGGATTAAGCAACTATCAGCTCTGTCCTCATATAATTGGACTCGAAGAGGTAATCTTCCATTTAGGTTCAACTCAGAAATTCCTTCTTTCTCTTTCTCTTCCTCCATCCCTATACTTCTTGGTAGAGAAACCCATTTATGATTCAGACACATTTCTTTTTTTTTTTTTTTTTACATTTTAAATGTTTATTTGTTAAAAAAATTTTAATGTTTTTATTTATTTTTGAGACAGAGACAGAGCATGAGATGGGGAGGGGCAGAGAGACAGGGAGACACAGAATCTGAAGCAGTCTCCAGACTCTGAGCTGTCAGCACAGAGCCCGATGTGGGGCTGGAACCCATGAATGTGAGATCATGACCTGAGACGATGTTGGAGCCTTAACCGACAGAGCCACCCAGGTGCACCAATGTTTATTTATTTTTGAGAGAGAGAGTGATACACACAGAGTGTGAGAAGGGGAGGGATGGAGAGAGAGGGAGACACAGAATCAGAAGCAGTCTCCAGGCTCTGAGCTATCAACACAGAGCCTGTCATGGGGCTTGGACTCATAAACTGTGAGGCCATGACCTGAGCTGAAGTCAGATGCTTAACCGCCTGAGCAACCCAGGTGCCCCTATTGAGACACATTTCTTAAGGAATGCATTTTGATCCCCATGGAAACCCCTCAAATCAAACTTCAAGAGATGGCTAATACCTTTTTGTGTACATGACAGAGAGGTAACTTGAAGGCAATGATTGATTTTTGAGACTCTAAGCAAGAGGTCAGCCACCCTGGAGAAAGAAAGGCTCATCTCCACTGCTTAGATAATAAAGCCCTTTAATCTTATATATGCTGGTAAAGGGTAATCAGTGCTAGCACTAAACTCTCAAAAGTTCTAGGATCTTTGAATTGATGGCCCCAGAGAGTATGTTGCCCATCTTCCTGTTCGGTTCAGGAATCCTTAACACTGTGTCCTTGAGATTCATTCAAGGTGCCGGGCATGATTACCTTCTAAAGAGGTAAGACACTAGCTGGACAGCTCCATTTGTTACATATCTGTTACTGTGAACAGCCACATGCATTCTCTCAAGCTACTCTAATGTTTTTTACTATTCCTGCTCACCTCCTATACTTCTATGTTCTTGCCTTTTCAAGTCTACAGTGTTAATTAATTCCTGTTTACAGCTTTCAGTATTGTACCTAAGCTCTCCTAAAATGACTTCACTTTAGTTAGGAGCTTAATACTTACTAAAATATAGTGAAACTTGAACTTTGACACATGTTAACATCTAAAACTGCATCTCATGACTGTACTTTGAAATTCAGAGAAACTTCTGGTTTCAAATGCCTTACAGTTCTCTTAAGGAATTTGATGACGTCAATCTCGCCATAGGATATGTACCTTTTTCCTCTCATTTTTGGCTGCACCAATGAAGAGTTAAACAATGTGCATCAGGCCACACATACTGCTGAAGACCCAACTGGGAATATAGCCCAGGAAACTTGGCTCCCAGTCCGGTGTGTTTCTAACCACATGACCATCATTTCTGATGACTGTAAATTCACATAGTACTCTTCCTGCTGAAATATGCAGAAGACAATCACATTGGCAAACCGGACAAGTCAGTGCATGTTAAGTAAGTTCCTAAACTGAAGAGTGTGTATTTTCCAGGATTCCTGTTGCCACTGACTATGAATGGTCCACATTTTACTAGTGATATCATGACACATGGCATTTCTGAGGGTCCTTCCATTGCAGATTCCCCTAATATTCACATTCTTGGCACTTGTCTTGTTGGACACAGATTTTGCTCAAATGTCATCTTTCTGAGAAGGCACTTCTAAGTGTTGGCAGCTGGCTGCTGCTGTTAAATTCTTCATTGCCTCTGTGCTATGCCCTCCAATATGCTTCCTGAGAGGCTGAGCCACTCTGCTTAGATTTCAACTATATGTTTTTAAACCTGAAACAGATGTTATCTTGGCTTCTGTCATTTGTTAGGAGCCTCTCTATTTGCATTACATACAAGGTAGGTAAAAAGCAGACAATTTGCTGCCTCAAGCTATGAGGAAAGAAAAAAGGGAAAGAGGGTGAGACAAGACACAGGGAGAGAATAAACACATAAATTGGAAGAATAAAGCCACATGGAGACAGAAAGTACAACCACTTGAGCATCTATTATCCTAATATCATGAGCTATAGTTTGGCTACTACTGATTTGGCTGGCATTCCTCTTGAATCATATTTGTGGCCACCCAGATTAATGATGTGAGCTGATCTCTTGATTTAATATCAGCTTGCTCTTTTCAGCTCCCATGCCATTTACTGTCTTTAAAAAAAAATGTACTGCTTGTTACTCAGCCGTCTCTGTTTTCAAGAACTCAGTCTTCTTTTATTTTTTTTTCTCTCCTTTTTGTATGGGAACCAGGAACTAGAAGGCATTAAATGAGGAAAATTAACCACTCACAGAAAAGGTAGAAGCCCAGAGAAAAAGGGGTTTGTCTTTTATGGTTTCTACTTTGTAAGCTGTGGGTGTGACTCAATTTCCTCACCACCCACATAAAAAGGTTGCCACCCAATCACTGTTTTTTTCTATCCCAAACCCCTCCCCTTTGATTTTGGCTAGGAGAGACCCTAAGAAAGACTGCCCTTTCTGGAAGTTGCAGACTGTGACATATAAAAGCTGTTAGCTGCTCCTGCAGCCAGCAGCATTCAAACCTTGCAGAGTTTTGCTCTCTCAGAGTCTGTAATAAGACACACTCTTACAAGAGTTCATACTACAACCTAGCAAAGAACTTTAAATTTTTGGAAGAACAATATATTCATTTTGGCATTGTGCAGAGGTAAGCTCTTTAGCTCGACAAGTTTATTTTGCATGCTTTGATTTTATACTAGCTCACATTTTTATTTTTATTTTTTAGAAATGAGACTGGCTTATTATAACTTTTTTTCTATGTATTCTATCACTTGGTGTCCATATATGTCTGGGACACATTATCAGCACATTCTCTGTTGTTAACTGTGATGCATTTTTCCTCCTCATTCTCAAGAGTAATCTCAATTCCTAATGATTTCCCTCTGAGTATATGCAGTAATGCATTATGTGGTGCAGAAATTTGGGGCAAGTGGTTCACATGTATTGTAGGGTTAGTAGTCATGCTGTTTATTTTTCTCTAGCTATAGGCAGTTTGTCTTAGGAATCTGCCTCATAACACCAAGTAAAATGTATAACGACTACTGTAGGTTGTTTCCTAGGCTTGAGTTCAACATTTATTTGCATTTTTCAGAGAAAATAAAATCAGTGTTCCCAAGTGATGACTCTGTAAATTCATACCCACTGGACACTCCCCCCCCCCTTTTTTTTCTTTTTTTCTTTTTTTTACTTTTCATAGACCCTAACTCTACCTTTCTGCTTTAAAGCAAAGTAAATTCGGTGGCTTCTCTTCCACTCCTCAAAATGATAGCAACCTCTGCAGTCAGCAGTGCACTTCTGTTCTCCCTTCTCTGTGAAGCAAGTGCCGTCGTCTTACTCAATTCCACTGACTCATCCCCGCCAACCAATAATTTCACTGATATTGAAGCAGCACTAAAAGCACAACTAGATTCTGCGGATATCCCCAAAACCAGGCGGAAGCGCTACATTTCGCAGAATGACATGATCGCCATTCTTGATTACCATAATCAAGTTCGGGGGAAAGTGTTCCCACCAGCAGCGAACATGGAATATATGGTAAGAGGAATTCGTTTTCTTTAAGTAATTCTGAGGAACGACGCTGTATTTCAATTGTTCATTGAAGAACCTAAACGGTGTTTACGTATTAAGGGATATGGAGCCTTGTACACATTTTAACTTAGGTTCTTATGTGCATAATAAGCTTAAGTTTTATTCCATCATGGAATTAAAGGAGGCGGGTGGGGGGTGCAGTTCTCATTTTCTTTTGTGAGTTCCATAACCACTGATGAATCAGGTCTTATATAAAAAACAAAGATAGAGCGTGGAGTATGTTGACTGACCACATTTGAAAGGTACACTTTTTAAAGAAGATTCACGTGAGAATTTTCTGTGCTTCATTTATCTAATAGTCATATTTATCAGCTCAAATATATCTTGAAAATAACTTTTTTAAGTTACAGGTTTTGTGTACATGATTTATTCTCTGGGTAGGTGTCCCTTCCCTTTCTTGGACAAAGCTCTTCCTGACGTTGATCTATTTGTATTCTCAGAGAACATGCTGACTTTTTCCTCTTTGTGATTTAGTGCCTTGTCGTTCAGATAACAGTGAAGCCAGCATACTTGAACACTGTTCCAACTTGCCATGAACACATTCTTTGCTCTTTTAAAAATAGGCATGCTGTGTTTAAAGCAGAAATCATTCTGCTTAGGAAGTAAAAAAAACAAAACAAAACAAAACCCTTGAGTTGGTTTTGAAAGGATAGATGTCTTCTTAAAGTTACTTTATTTTTTGTTTTGAATTTATGCAAGGTTACGGTTTAAAGTTCAGTACCTTCTGAGAGTGGCTTGGAGCCTGTTTAAGGCAATGAAGATCACCAGTCTGATATTTCCAAGTTGGGGTCGAGGGTGGGGGTGGTAACTTTTTATAAGTGCTGATCTAAAATTTGGTATTTCTATCAGATTCTAAGTTCACCTTTTATTTAAATAAGCTTTTAAGTTTGACCAATTACAGATGTCAGAGTTACAGGAAAAATAAAGGCTTGCCAAATATAAGAGAGTCATAGTTCATAGAAGTACAATTTAGAATCTATGAAAATGCACTTTCCTAGGATATTTTAAAGGAAGAGGAAAAGAGGATATAATCAGTCCTGGTGTATGAATGGTAATATAGTCTCATGATTAAGAATATGGGCTTTGGAATCTAAACGCGTGGGTTCACACCTCAGTCCTGAAATATAACATGAATGAATTTGTTATTTCATTTTCATCACCTCTAATATGAGGATAAATGAAGTGTCTGCCACTTTGGGTTGTTTAATTGGGAAGGTATGAGTTGAGCGGTTGAGCAACTAGACCATAGCCTAGAGCAAAATAGACTCCAATAAACGTTAGCACTTTCTAGAAGGTGATACATCGATGTAGAAAAAAGAGTAAGTTTTTTAGTTAACATAAATTATGAGAGAAATGTGCATGAGATTCTATGAGATCAGAAGAGTTTATTATATAGACTGTGAGTTTAGGAAAGACTTCTTCTGCCAATCACATGGCTTGGACCAAAGTAGGACCAAAACAACTGAAGTGCTTTAGAGGTAAGCTCCTCCAAGTTCAAACCCTAACTCTGCTGCCTACTCTGTGATCTCCTGTGAGTTACACAATGTGTGTGAGACTCAATTTCCATATCTTAAAAATGAGAATAATAATATAGATACTAAACAGGGCACCTGGTTAAGTTAACAGTCAGTTAAGCTTCTGACTTCGTCAGATCATGGTCTCATGGTTCGTGAGTTCGAGCCCCACACTGGGCTCTGTGCTGGCAGCTTAGAGCTTGGAGCCTGCATCCAAGTCTGTGTCTCTGTCTCTCTCTGCTCCTCACCCACTTGCACTTTGTCTCTCTGTCTCTCTCTCTCAAAAATAAACATTAAAATTTTTTAAATAAAAAATGATATAGATAATAACTAAATATATAATGCAATTCACTATTTTAATGATAACGATGGTAGAGGGCTCATCTTGAGTAACAGTGGAGTACAACACAGTAGAAATGGTTGAAAAAAGCCACATTTTTCTGGTTATATTTGTCTCCACTGGTCAAGAATTAATTCATTCCGAATGCATTTATTTAATTTTTTTCTTTGTGCCAACAACTTGGCTAATTGTTTTCATAGATGATCTCATTTGATAGCTCACATTCTCCCTATGAGGTTAAGGTTGTGAACTTTATTTTACAAATGAAATCACTTAGACCTAGAAAAGCTAATGAGTAGGCCAAAGTGGTATTGACGAATGAATGGTGTTAATAGAGTTAGAATTTAGGTCTATGTAATTTCAAAGCTGATGCCTCTGTTGGGAAGCCTCTTTTCATTTGCTAGGTTTTTATGTTCCAGTGGGGGAAACTACTGGAGGTGTCAGGAGATCTTTCTTCCTTTAAAATGCCACTTGAAATCCAATAATATTCATATTCTTTTCTATTATTATTTCTCAAACATGAGAGCTATGATATGATTTATTTTGTAAGAACCAGACACAGTGCTGATTGTATCAATGGATATGTGACAAAACCTCCTTCACTTAGTCAGGTTAATGAGAGGCAGTAATTAGCACAGTAAGTTCTATAAAATAAAATGAAATTGTCATGTAAATACTGCATATACTTCTTTTGCCCATGTATTTATTCATTTAATATTTATTGAGCGTATATTCTATGTCAGGCACTTTTGTAAACAATAGGGTACATTCATTAATAAAATGTATCTGGTTCCTCTGGGAGGGAAACCACACAAAAAAGAATAGAAATAAATCATATTTATATTCCATATAACCATATAGTACATTAGAAGGTGATAAGGATGAGGAGATAAATAAAGCAGGTTGTGGTCAGGTTGTGAAACCGAATAGGGTGGCCGGGGAAGGGTTCACTGGGAGTGTCGTTGAGGAAGCACGGGAGTCAGGCACACTGATAGGTGAGGGAAGAGCTTCCCAGGTGGAAGGAAGAGCCAAGGAGAAGGCCCTGATGTAGGACAAAATTGATTAGTTCAGTTAGAAAAATGTGCTCAATTTAATGAAACTGTGTGTGAGAAGAGCAGTTTGACTAAGTTGAGCCATTGAAATAACTCGGGTGGATCACTCATGAAGACTCAGAGAAACTCTGAGTGAAGTGTAATGTATTGGCAGCTTGGAGGTTGGAGCAGAAACTGTTAAGTGACTAATCTCTAGGCCAGGTGAAAAAATACAGATCTCAATTTAACACTATTATCTTCATTTGAACATGTTCAGCATTGATTTGGATTGTGAGCAGTCTGAAGGTGAGCTCAGTTCCTACCTCTATTCAGTACCTCAAAAACTTAGGATTCTTAGCTCCCTAGGACCACAAGCTGTGTCTTCAAATTATCCTCATCGGTGAGTGGTAGCAGCCATGGGACCTTCATAGAAGAGGGTATTCAGCTCAGGGCTTTTTCTTTTCTTTTTTTTTTAAGGTTATTTACTTTGAGAGAGAAAGAGAGAGAGAGAGAGAGAGAGAGAATCCCAAGCAGGTTAAACATTGCCAGCAGGGAGCCCGACCCAGGGCTTGAACACACATACCATGAAATCATGAGCTGAGTCAAAATCCAGAGTTGAGCACTTACCCGACTAAGCTACCCAGACACCCCAGCTCAAGGTTTTCTCTAACTGTGTCTCCTGATTTGTGTCCCTTTTACCACAACTTTTCAATTTGAACCATTTTTTCATGCTGCTTCTCTCCCTCCATCTCCTCCTTAGCTTATTCCATGATTTACAGCCCTGCCCTTCAAATCTTATATCAGAATGCTGTGTCCTTTTTTGATATATATATATATTTACCCTCACAACTATACTTGATTTCTCCTTGTTTTAACTTCTATTTTAACTTCTATTCATGTCTGTTACTCTACTCTCATCAAACTCGAACTCTGTCTACACTTATTTGTATAGTTCTTGCAAACTTTCTAGTTTTAAGCTTTCAGGGTGCTAAGGCCATGTTTATTTACTTTTATATCCATTTTTTAAACCAAATTCTTGAGTATAGCAGTGATCAATATTTATCTGATGAATTTAGTTCAAGTCCCTATGAATTGTTACATGTTTATAAGTAGCATCAATTTTGATATTATTTATATTTAATGAAAGTTTTCTCATCATGTATTTTATTACATGCACCGAAAGCTTAAATAAAACGTTTTTCCTAAATTCTAAAAAAGTTCCTTAAAATTAAATGATTTTATCATCTTTAATACTTGGTTATGTCAGTGTACCCTTGACAAAATAAAGTAGAAGCAATTTGAACTCCGAGTGTTGACATTCATGTTATAGTTGTATAATATTTTCTTTGGATATTTGGCCATGATCTTAGTAAAAAAACACACACTGAAAATTTTAATTTTCTAAACATAGTATCTTTTTAAAAAATAATAATATTGATAGGGCTTAAGATATGCAAGTCAAACTTCTTTGCTCTTGGCTTCTGTTCCACAATTAGTTTATTGACAAATTTCCAGGGCTCCTTGGACACCAGCTGTTTTTCATTCTTCTAAGGGCAGCTTAAACCATGACTCTAAACCACAAACCACACTAGTTTCTTAGAATAAGAATTATCCCCAAAAGAATGAAATTGCAAGACTCACACATGGAGTAAAATTTGTAAGATATTCCTTGAATTCAAGTCAATTGAATAAATTGTTTTTAAAAAGGTTGAGGTCCCTCCATGAAAGGATGAGATCCATTGATAACAGAAATCTTTGTCTTTAAAGTATAAGCAAAACCATGAAAAACAACACAAACAGGAAAGAGAACACTAAGTATATATAATTCAGTATAATATGCTGCTGCATAATATTGATGTAATAAATGAGGTACAGAAAAATACCATGGAGAAATCAAAGAAAGAAGCAATAAACCCTGTTGGCAAAATCATCAAAAGGCTCCTTGAGGGAGGAACACAAGAGATAGATGCTCAGGAAGGGGGTGGCTTGGCTGTTATAATAAGTAAAGCAATGCATGAACAAAATCACCTGTAAAAAAGGAGCATAATGTGTTAGCCGAAT